GCGCCATGGAAACGCATCCGTGCACCTCGAGGCTGCCTGGACCGACTCCTGGGTAATGGGCTCCAATGTCAGCACCTGTGAGACCGCAGGGCGGGCGGCCTGAAGCGCAAGGCCCGGGAAGGAGGCTCGGCCCACCCTTTTTAGAAGGAAACCTATACACATTGATCCTTCAACCGAGCTGTGGCCAGAGACCGCTCATTACTGCCCGACGTCCACTCTCGTATTCCTTAATAATAAAACACGGGTTCTTAGCTGGGCCCAGGGCCACCGGGCTAAATGACTACACTCACCGCCATCCCATGTGACCAAGTTCCAGAAGGTGCTAGAGGGTGTGTCTGTGAGGTAACCTGAAAAGGGAGAAGCCTGCTCTGTTTGCCACTTCCTTCACCAGCTGGCCGTAATGCAGGGGTGTCAGCTGGAGCTCCAGCCACTACTTTGGGCCGTGAGAACGGGGGCCACAGTCTCGGGCTGGAAGGCCAGGACACTGGAGGACATGGGCCCCCGATGTCTTCACTGAAACTGTGAGCGCAGCCACGGACAGCCGCATGAAAAAAGAAAAAAGACCAAAACCCCTAGGTATTAAAACTACTGTCGATGGTTTTCTGTCATGTGCAAAGAAGCTTCTTTTATTCACAAATAAAAACTCCACTCTTACATCAGCCCAATAAATACACGGAGGGGAAGAATTTAGGCCAATTAACTATCCTCTATCCATGGAAAGCTTCTTTGAAAATAATTAGCTTCATTAAATGGGAATATTTTCCTACTTGCCTGACAGGAAACATTACTCACCCTCAACGAGGGGGTACAGAGTTTCCATAACAAGAACTGTTTAAATTATTTCTTTTTTGTCTTTTTACTGCTCTGATCCTTGGATGCGACTTATGCTTCAATCTGACAGTGAACTTGGGACTCTGTCTTCCGCTGACCTAGGTAGTCTCCCCTCCAAACTCGTAGTCACTGGATAACATTTTGATGTCCAAAAGTATTCGAAGAATTTGATCCTACAAAAAATACAGTTTAACTAACGTCGGAACTAGCGTTCATCCGTGTGTCGCTCCTGACGAAGGGGACGGGTGGGCCGGCCACTACCTGTCTCTTGTCCTTCCAGTTCTCTCGTCCCTGCCTTTAGGCCCTGCCCTCATGTGCTCCTTCCTAGAGGAACTCGATTTGCTTTTCACTGCTTCAGAGTTCAGATGCACTCACACAGGAAAGTAAGCAACATGTCTGGAATTAGGCCGGTGACAAATGAAGGTTAACAAAAAAATAGCAAGGGTCTGAGAAAGCCTGAAGCACAGTGGGCATTTCAGATGCCTTCTTCAAAGGGGGAAGTAGCAACCTACCCAGGAGATACCACCACGTGGGGGACATCACCACCCAGGGGACACCACCCACCCAAGAGACGCCACCCACCCAAGAGACACGACCTACCCAGGAGACATCACCACCCAGGAGACATCACCCACCCAAGAGACAGCACCTACCCAGGAGACATCACCACCCAGGAGACACCACCCACCTGGAGACACTACCTACCCAGAAGACATCACCACATGGGGGACATCACCACCCAGGGGACATCACCACCCAGGGGACATCACCTACCCAGGAGACATCACCACCCAGGAGACACCACCCACCCAAGAGACACCACCCACCCAAGAGACACTACCCACCCAGGAGACATCACCACCCGAGGGACATCACCACCCAGGGGACATCACCTACCCAGGAGACACCACCCACCCAGGAGACATCACCACACAAGGGACATCACCGCCCAGGAGATACCACCTACCCAGGGGACACCACCTACCCAGGAGGGCAGGTAGAGGAAGCTTCTTCCTGACACGCTTCATCACCCAGGCTGACACTGAAGTCTCAAGCCCAGGACACAACCAAATATTTTTGGCAACAATAGAGATACATAGAGACGGAAAGTTTTATTCCCCAGAATGGCAGGGAGCGTCTCCCCATAACCGAAAGATGGTGTGGGCACTGGGGCTGCACCTCCAGGAGGTAAGCGACAGCACGTAGGACCACT